CACCGAAAACAATCGCAGTAATGAAAAATTGGGAATCCAATATTTTCAGGATTGCGAAAAAACAAATATCTACATTAGATTGCATTCTTTTCATTGACAATATATACATATTTATTAACCACGATTTAGCTCCGTAGAGCGAGGAAAAAAACCGTTTAGCTAGTTCCGTCTTCATTTTTTCTTTTAAACAAGGCTTGGTGGTTGTGGGTTCATTCAAAGTATAGGGTTACGTTAAGAGTAGTTTAACGTCGATTGTCCCAAGCGCTTTCGGACACATCTTTAGCCATTTTCAAGTGGGTTGTTTTTGGTTTCGTTCGTTTATTTTCACGTTTTTGACCGTGTCAGATGTATTATTTGTGTATTGTAATCACAGCGATGATTACGAGCCATCATGTGTCGGGCATGACAGAAATTCGAGTGGGTGACTCTATTTTTAAAAGAGTTTCAATTTTCTCTTAACATAGTTTTTTTTTCTTGATCACTCCCACTAAACGGAAAAATGTAAAAACTAAATAAAATAAATAATAAAAACATATATATATAATATATATATATATATATATATATATATATATATATATATATATATATATATATATATATATATGTGTCTAATGTGTGTGTGTGTGTGAAGAAATATAGTTTTAAGGTGTGCTATATTTATGAGATAAAAGTGCTCAATATCAGAGATAGAGCATTATGTAAATATAAATATAAAAGTGAACATTGAAATCAACACTTAGGCGACAGGCTGTTTCATGCTAGACGCAATTGTCAGGCGGTCTGATGATTGCGTCTAGCATGAAACAGCCTGTCGCCTCTACGTGTTGACGTCAATGTTCATATATACTTTATATATATATATATATATATATATATATATATATATATTGTTAAATATAACAGACAATGAATTTCTATTATGTTTAATAATGAGCCTTTCCAAAGTTCATGTGGTTGCTTTAATTTCGGGTGAAAATAAAGACAAGGAATTTACAACATCTGGATATATTTCTTTTAAGCTGTTACTTGATCTAAGCTTCCGGCTCGAATGTCCATATAACCACGCTGAAGATGGCTCATGTGAGTCGAAAGATTAGATCAGGAGTCACCAACCTTTTTTTTCTCACGAGCCAGATTACTAGAAAAATAACGAGCCCGGGCCGGATAATCATTTTGTTCAATACAATACACTGAATACACAAAACAATAAAGACAACAAACATACTAATTTACTAAAAAGTTATCAAAAAAGCCGATAATAGCAATAAAATAGTTATAACACACAACAAGTGTGCACATATCCTAATCTCACAAACTAAGCTGCACAAAAGCTTAGTGAGATTTGTGAACCTGGCGTTTACCTTTTAAGATATAATTAATATTTGTTTTGGTATTACTGCATCCAACAAGTGAAATGCTTTCAAATGTTCATCAGTCAATCTTATTACATGTTCTGAGTTTACATACTTTAGATTTTATAATAAGTTCAAGCAAAATAAATGACATAATTCGCTGAATGTCCTTTTTGTATACGGCACTCTTCAAACCATTTTAAACACGGCAATGCAAGTTTAAAAAATAATTGCTTCAGCAGGCTCGTAATCTCTTTTCTTAGAAATTTCATTGCAGGTACTCACAAAAAAGCGCTCGGATATCAAAATTTGCAAAAAGTTGCCGAATTTTTTATTTCATTGATTTTCCTTTTACTGTCAGATGTTAAAATCAGATTGTCCAAATTTTGGCATTTTAGTTACATTTATTTTAATTTTTTTTCTACATAGTTTGACTACAATCTATTGATAATTCCACATAAATAATTATGTTTTAGCTCATTTCTGGCACAGTGAAACGGCGGGCCGAAGGAATGACGGCGAGGACCGTATCCGGCCCGTAATTTGGTGACCCCTGGGTTAGATCAAAGAATAGCTGAAAAACATATCCAAATGCTGGCCAATATTTGTCTTTATTTTCACCCGAAATTGAAGCAGCCATATGAAGTTTAGAGAGGCTTATAATCAGACATCATATCCTTATTTAAACATATATTGTTAAATGCAACAGACAATGAAAGTCTATTATATTTAACAATATATGTTTAAATGATGTGCTGCCCCAGTACAATATATATATATATATATATATATATATATATATATATGTGTGTGTGTGTGTGTGTGTGTGTGCATTTTAGCAGCAAATTCTCCGTTTGGCATGTCTGATTGAATAAATTACAGACGTTATGTCTGCTAATTTTTAACAAAATCCGTTCATACTCACGAATAGCCTTCCATGTATTATTCTTAAAAGATGAGAGAAATGTGCTATAACTTTTTAAATTTCTTTCATTAATTGATAAATAAATTCAGTATCTAGCCACCCACCCACGAGGGTTGCATGTGGCAGAAGGCCGCTGATTTTCCAAGAGTAGCTTAGATGTGGCACAAGGCCGAAATAAAGTATCGGGGCATCCAGTTGTGATCTAGCAAGATAGATAACATTCACTGCTCAGTAGGTTAATTGTTCATCCAGTGAGGATCGCTCAGACGTAATTGTTCTAGCCAGACAAGCTTACTAAACCACCTCGACGTGCCCAGTATTGATTTTCTAAGCATTGCTTAGATGTGGCACAAGGCCGAAACTATGGGGCACCCAATGAGGATCGAACTCACTATTCAGTCGTACGGTTTTAGCGAGACAAGCTTGCTAACCATTACACCACGCTGAGGTGCCCTGATTTTCTAAGCGTAGCTTAGATGTGGCACAAGGCCGAAAGTAAGAGGCACCCAGTGAGGATCAAACTCACTACTCAGTTGTAATTGTTCTAGCGAGACAAGCTTGCTAACCATTACACCGCCTAGAGATGCCCTTGATTAATAAATTCAAGCTACAGATCTTAGAAGCAATTTATATATATAGAAAAAATAAAGTCGGCACTGAACAGAATTAACTACAAATACTGCAGTAATGTTCTGAAATGCCTATAAAGGAACAGTTTTTCATGCTTTAATGCGCGCATGACCATGAGATTATAACATAGAAGAAAAAAAAATTCCATAATGGATATTTTTTCACTTTCTAATGGACGCTCAGCACATCGTCAATAGTTTTGCAGTTCAATGAATGTAAAAATTACGGAAATGAATAACAACGCACAACTTTATATAAATACTTATACTAATGAATACCATATAGTTTGGTACCACTTGCAGCCCTGAAGATGATCTTGGAAGAAGATCGAAAGTGCTTGAGAAATTAAAATAAAAGAAATTTAAACAGCTATACAATACACGGAAGGTTATTCGTGAGTATAAACGGATTTTATTAAAAATTAACACATTCTGATATATATATATATATATATATATATATATATATATATATATATATATATATATATATATATAGGTGGTCGGAACTTCGTCGACGTCGTGTAATGGTAGCAAGTTTGTTTCGGTATCTGTCAATATTTCTGATATGAGGTATTATGTATACTATTTACATTAGTCAGACTATTGTCCTCATCTTTGCCGTTATATTTATTACAAAGTTTCGGCCGTTGTACGCTCCGGCCTTCTTCAGATGGTTGGAATCGCACAGTGAATAAAGGCGCTAGTTAGATCCAGTGACAGTACCCAAAGAGTGTGAATTCAATACCCGGTTAAGGCAGTGGAGAACTTCGAGAGGAGAATTAACAGGAGATAACTGATAACTGACAGCCATTAAAACATGGCACGTGGAACTAGAATAGTCTACCACAGTGAGCGAAATAAAGGGTTCAGTTCGACTTTACAACCACCTGAAGAAGGCCGGAGCGTACAACGGCCGAAACGTTGTAATAAATATGCCGGCAAAGATGTGGACAGTAGTTCGAATAATGTAAGTTTATCTCGCTAAATCAATTGTGACTGAGTAGTGAGTTTGATCCTGACTGGGTGCTACACACTTTCGGCTTTCTGCCACATCTAATTTATGCTTATAAAATCATTATATACTGGCCATCTAGACGTGGTTAGCAAGCTTGTTTCGCTAAAGCTGATACGACTGAATATTGAGTTCGACCGTCCTTAGGTACCCCATCCGTTCGGCCTTGTGCCACATCTAAGGTACGCCTAGAAAATAATTGTGTGTGTGTGTGTGTGTGTGTGTGTGTGTGTGTGTGTGTGTGTGTGATCCGAAAAATAATGGTGGCAGAGCATTCACTATTGTATTTCACTCCTAAACGTGTTCGTACATTAGCGGATAATTAGCTCGGGGTCGGAAAGAAAAATGCCAGTTGTCAATCGTTGCAATAACTGGGCGCCGATTACGTCCAGTGCGATTTGAGACTTGTAAAATCTTTCAAATCTTTTTCAATCATCGCCGTAGTATACTTGTACTAAAGAAATAAATAGCATTGGAAGTCGAAACACAGAGTTAGACTAATCACCCGACACTCAACCAATCAACAGAACCTCCACCCTAAAACTTCGAACTTAACCTGTCCCACCCTATTACTCAGAGCCCCGAAAGCTATCAACTGATAGGCGAAACAGCTGTTCGCCGTAAATACCGATTTGGGAATGGATTCTAAATATAATGTCCCGTACCAAAATTCGATAAGTCGCGTTTATCTTGCAAGAGGGATTTACTTTCGTCTATTAAACTCTGGACTTTAACTGTGGAGGAGGGTCAGCCTAAATGTAGTTGGGGGTTGGGTGGCGTTCGTGCTGCTTAAACTATCGGCGTTTTGGGTGAGGGACTGGGTTATTTGGGTGGGTGTTTTATTTGCTATTTTACTATTTTTCTCTGTTTCTACTTTCATTTTCGTCGCAATTTGGGGGTTTGTTAATTTCTTTCTTTTTCTTTCTTTCTTTCTTTCTTTCTTTCTTTCTTTCTTTCTTTCTTGTTTGCATTCTTTCTTACATTTTTATCTACTGTTTGCCTTTTTTCCTAGATTTCTTAATTCTTTCTTTTTTATCGATCCTTTTTTTCTATGTTCAGTTTTTGCCTCCTTTGTAATGTTTTTTTCTTTCTTTCTTCCTTTCTTTCTTAATTTCTTTCTTTCTTTCTTCCTTTCATTTCGCATTCTTTCTTTCTTTCTTTCTTTCTTTCTTTCTTTCTTTCTTTCTTTCTTTCTAGTTTTCATTCGTTCTTGCATTTTTATCTTCTGTTTGCCTTTTTTTCCTAGAGTTCTTTTTGCTTTAATTCATTCTTTCTTTCTTTATTATCGATCTTTTTTTGTATGTTCAGTTTTTGCCTCTTTTGTAATGTTTTTTTCTTTCTTTTTTCTTTCTTTCTTTTGGTCTTTCTTTGCTTTTTTTCTTTTCATTTTGTCGTAATTCTTTTTTTCTAAATCGATTCATTTTTCTTTCATTTCGCATTCTTTCTTTTTTTCTTTCTTCCTTTCTTTCTTAATTTCTTTCTTCCTTTCATTTCGCATTCTTTCTTTCTTTCTTTCTTGTTTGCATTCGTTCTTGCATTTTTATCTTCTGTTTGCCTTTTTTCCTAGATTTCTTAATTCTTTCTTTCTTTTTTATCGATGCTTTTTTCTATGTTCAGTTTTTGCCTCCTTTTCTGATATTTCTTTCTTTATTTTTTCTTTCTTTTGTTCTCTCTTTCCTTTTTTTCTTTTCTTTTTGCCGTAATTTGTTTTTTCTAAGTCGATTCATTTTTCTTTCATTTCGCATTCTTTCTTTCTTTCTTTTTTTTCTTTCTTTCTTTCTTTCTTTCTTTTGTTTTGTTCTTTCTTTTCTTTTTTCCTTCTTTTCTTTGCCTCTTCCTTTTCTTTCTTTCTTTAATTTCCGTCTTTCTTTCTTTCTTTCTTTCTTTCTTTCTTTCGAGTTTGAATTCATTCTTGCATTTTCAGCTTGATCCTTCTGTCTGGTATTTTTAATTTTTCTCCTTTAATCTTTTCCATTCTTTCTTTCTTTCTTTTTTTCTTTTTTCTCCAATATCTTCTATTTTCTTTCTTTCTTTCTTTATTTATTTATTCTTTCTTTCTTTCTTTCTTTCTTTCTTTCTTTCTTTTTTCTTTCTTTTTTTTTGCATTCATTTTGCATTTTCGTCTCTCTGTTTGCCTTTTATATTCTCTTTCTTTTTTCCTTCCTTTCTTTCTTCTTTCTTTCTTTCATTCTTTTTTTCTTTTCTCACTTTCATTCTATCGTTCATTCTGTCTTTTTTTCTCTCTTTCTTCATTTTGCGTTAATTTTTGTATTTTTTCTTTTTGCCTTTTTCCTCTCTTTCTTTCTTTCTTTCTTTCTCTCTTTCTTTCTTTCTCTCTTTCTTTCTCTCCCACGCCTGAAGCCTTCCCTTCTTTTGTATTTTCCTTTTTCTTCTAAAGATTTATCCATATTTTTTCATTAATTTCCTCTCTTTCTTTATTTTCATGCTTTCTCTTTGAATTTTCCAAATTTTACGCCACTCTGAGACTTATTCTTCCATGTCTCGTTTTCTCTTGTGTCGCATTCCTTTAAATCCTATTTGATGTGCAGAGGGCTCTTGATTGGGCCTTCGGCTTGTTCAGGAGTTTGAGAGCCCCTTCGTCTTTTCATATTCTCAACATTAGAAGCTCTCTTGGCTGCTGTTTGATCTGGGTTTTCATTTGCATGGGACTTTCTTTTCCTGGCTGCAGCCTTGGCTCTTTTGATTTCAATCTGGTTCCCTGTTGGTAGAAATATTTTTATGTGCCATACTGCTACCGTATGCGATAGGCAACAATAAACTGTAGAAAAACTCAAAATTGATCGCTGCATTTAAGCTTTGCACAAATATTTAAGCTTATCTTTTAAAACTTCATCGATAATTCATCTGTCGCCACTTAATTTAAAGGCAATTGGATGTACGTAGGTCCTCACTTAACGTGCAAACAATTATTTTTATGTCATGGCTGACTTTCGCTAGATTTAGCAATTAATTTCGATTATTCTCAAATTTATTTCCAAGTTATAAAAATTGTTATCGTCGAAAAAGTTCGTTGAAGAAAATCGCGCTAATATTCACCGAAAACAATCGGCGTAATGAAAACTTAGGAATCCAAAACTTCAGGATTTCAGGTCCGGATCGGCACCAGAATGATTTTAATTTGCTCACAGAGTGGTCCTCATTCCAAAATGGTAGGATATCTTGGGCTACGGCCTCTAGGAGTAAAGTTGAAAACACAATTTTATTTGAAAGACTGTAATTTGAATACAGTATATATATATATATATATATATATATATATATATATATAATTTCAAGAGATCTATGGAAACTTAGAGAGGTGTGTCCCTATACGTGTATATGTTATTGTGTATGTGTGTATTCGCATGTGTTTTTGAACATAAAAATATTGGTCCTTGCTGGATTAGTTAACCGTTATATTTATTTTTTATATGTTTATCTTTGATTTGTAACCTGTAGTCGATATTAATTTTGTCAAATTTTTTCAATTACACAGCGGCCCTTTCAGTAAATGTCCTTCAATTTTAGTTTCCCTCGCCCCATCTCTTTTCCCCACCTCTTCTTTCTTTTTCTCTCCCTCCCTCTTATTCTGATCTTTAACATTAGATCGTCTATGTCACCACGAAATGTATCTTTAATGTATTAGACATCCGACAACATTCATATTTCTCCCTTCTACTCAGCTCTTTAAAAAAAACTGTCTCTGTTAAGTTTTAATCTCCCACCTTCTCTCGTCTGTTACCCCTCTCTTTAGCTCTAACATTCGTCCCACACTCTCATACTTAGACTCTCTCTAAATTCTATTTTTATTTCCGGAGTTGTTTTTTTCTGTTTTCTTTTGAATTTTAGGTCTGATGAATTGGATCGTATTTACGATTTCAATGGAATAAATTATGACCATGGAATATTAATGTTTTATATATATATATATATATATATATATATATATATATATATATATATATATATATATATATAAAAAAAAGAAAGAACAGTAAGATATATAATTCGGTGTTCTTAATTGATATTTTCAAAATAGTACTCAGTGTAAATTTACAGAGCAAATTAACTAATGTGACGTCGTCCCCGGTCGCAGCGCCAACTGTGACGTTCTATCCTGATCTACCACGGCGCCAGTTGTGACGTGGCCGTTCCAGGGTCCTATCCCGGTCACGACACCAGATGTGACGTCCCTAAACAGCACCAATTGTGACGACTTCGCCGCGGCGCCAGCTGTTCGCTCCTCGCTGCTCCGTCCGGGAGTCGCTGCTCCAAACGTGACGTTCTAACCCTTTGGTGATTCGGGTAGGAATCTGGTTAGATTTTATATCAGCCTCGCCGTTCCCAACCTGCTTCCAACGCCTGGTTACCAAGGTAACTGCACTGATCTCCAGTCTGCCTACCCACGTTGTGAATTGATCTTAGACAGACGAGATCAAACAGGGGTTGGGGCCGTAATGCAAATTGAGTTCAACGGGGTGATAACACACAAATATGCATAAAAAAAAAAAATGAAAACTCAAAAAGTTCAAAGTATCAAGAAAAAGGTAACAAACTTTTTATGTCTAGTTGTTCGATACATAGGACTGCATCTACCTCCCGACCCGTTCTGTGGATTGTGGCACGTCGCTTTCGCTAGGCAAGTTTTAACGCTTCAAGTTGTCTGCTCTCTAAGAAATTTGTGTTTCGGTGTGTCTTTGGACGAAAGTCGAAAAACTTATTTCTGTGGTCTGGTTCTAAGTCGCTCTTCAAACTAATTGTTCTTGGTTGAAGAGGAGTCCAAAATTTTACGTGAATCTTGGTCAGCTATCTTGAGGCGGCTTCAACACTGGGCACTCATCTCTGCCGTCCGGGACTGAATTAACTCTCTTCTGCCCGCCAGGGTCGAACGAACTCTTCTCTGCCCGCCTGGGTCCGACTGAACTGATTTCTGTCTGTTGGGCTTCGCTTTTATTGACGCCGACCAAAACCCGGGTGGGTCTGTTGGCGTCGGGGGTTCATCGATAATTCTAAATACATATCCACCTCTTTTATTTCTGGTTAGGGATTTTCCACTCTTTTCCATTTTTGGTAACTTTTTTCTCCTCCCACTTTCTCACCATGCTTCTGAGGGCGTGAACTGCCCTCCCACTTCTTCGTAGCGGCTTCTCATACTTATACTCTGGATGGGGCGTCGACAGTTTTCTTCGTGCGTCACGTGACCACTCTCGGCCAATGAGGTCTTGGTCGGGTATCTTTCCTCCTCCTTCGTGCGTCATGTGATCACCACTTGGCCAATGACGTCTTAGTCGGGCGTGAACAACCCGCGGCTTTGTTTTGGAAAAGAAATATACCTTGCTTAACTAAAAAAAATTAATGATCTCTCCTCTTTCTTTTTTTTTTTTCTTTCTTTCAAATCGCCGTTATCATGAACGGATAATGTGACAACTCTTTGTTCAAGACGTGGCGTTTGTCAAGCAGTTTATCGGTAATGCATCAGACGGCTGGGTTTTCCGACATGGTCTAAGAAAGGAATTTTCTCCAAATTCTCAGCCAGTCTGGCGTCTCCAAAGCAGAAATAAAAACATTTCATTTTCCTTCGGTTCATGTGTCTGATAACAAAATTTTATTATCGCAGGGCAAAAATCTGTTTTGTCGTAAAGAGCCTAACTAGTGAGACTAATTGTGTGGGATTTTAATTTTCTATACCCAGCTAAGGATCCAAGCTACAGGGTCGTGAGCTGCCCTCCCCACTTCTTCGTAGCAGCTTCTCATACCTATCCTCTGGATGGGCGGCGACAGCCTCCTTCGTGCGTCACATGATCACCACTCGACCAATGGTTTCCTAGTCGGGCGTGGACGAATCCGCGGCTTTGTTTCAGGAAAAAAAATATCTTGCTTAACTAAAAAAAAAATAATCTTTTCTTTTCCTTTTCTTCCTCTTAATCGCAGTTATCATTTTCTCTAGCCGCAGACAGGACAATATGAACGACGGTGGTCATAACTCTTGTTCTACACCTGGGCTTCGTCAGTCATCTTATCGCTAATTATCAGAATGGGTAGTCTTTTTAAACGGCCAGACGTCGCCCCGAAAAGAACATTTCTAAGTTCCCATTCATTTCCTTTCGGTAGATATTTCTGATAACATAATTTTATTATCGCAGGCTAAAGATGTTCCGTCGAAAGAAATCGGTCAGTGGACACATCGTGTGCGGCTTTTGACACAAATTTTTCATATCTATCCAAAGCCCTTTAGTCCACCTGTTTTCCGTCATTTATCGAAATAACATTTTCATTTGGATTTTCTTAGCAGTTTGTTTACGCATCCCAGATAACACAGCCGTCGCCAAAACACACCCGATTCCTTTATCCACTCAGAATTTCCCTGTCATTGTAATGACACTCTTTCGCCATTTGTTACTTATGAGAATATTCTTTAAACATTGTCTCTTAGCCGTGGTGTTCTGCTTATCATCCACGTTTTGGGTCTCGCCTCTCTTTTGCCTTCTTTTCTTTTTCTGCCTCGGTAAATGGTGCCACATACGCCCAGCATCGAATCTATGATATGACCAGCATCGAATCTATGATATGCCCAGCATCGAATCTATGATATGCCCAGCATCGAATCTATGATATGCCCAGCATCGAATCGATGATATGCCCAGCATCGAATCTATGATATGCCCAGCATCGAATCTATGATATGCCCAGCGTCGAATCTATGATATGGTCCCCGGACTACGATAGGAGGGCCAACGTTCTACTACATCTCAATTGATAATCATGCAAAAAACAATCTTTATTGGAACCTAATTTTGTACAAAAATAGATCATGTACAATATAGGTGAACAATTCAACTAGAAAAACTGAAAATAAAATAAAATCCACAAGGTTTTACGGCAATTTTAAACATCAAATTTAGATTATATTTTAGTTGAATATTTTTAACGTTATGAATTAAAAAAAAAATAGTGAATTGTATATAGTGTTTTTTTCAAAACTTAGCATCATCAAAACAAATTCATGGATTTAGACGAAAAAAGAGACCTGAATGACAGGAAGTTGTAGAGAGCCATGTATAATGACAAAAGTACGCAGGCTTAAGGTTTAAGAAATTTTTATTCAACTGAGAATACGAGGTTCATGTATCGTGTCCGTTTATAGTCCCAGTAAAGAGAAATAGCGCTCTCTACGAGGAGAGTAACAAAACAAGGGGAGACCACTTTTTATTATTCATAATTCCATGATCACCTCCGTTCTGAGAGGACACGGCACATAAAGAAGAATTATGTACAATAATGTATCATATGCAATATAGGTGAAGAATTCAATTAGAAAAATTGGAAAAGAAAATATAAACAAAAATGCCATAAATTCTGTTTTGTGGCAGTTTTTAGCATCAGCTGTTCTTTTTAA